ATACATTATTAACGAATTATTATTTGCTAAGCTCTTACAAAGGTGAGGGCACAAGAAGAAAGGAGAAGTGCCTATATCACAAATACATAATATAAATGAGGTGAGAGAAGGGTGGAAGAGGGTCGAACTTGCTGAGTATGTCAGGTCTGGAGACAAAGAGGACGAACTAGAGAGACATGCCACGTCTTATACCGATCGCTGAAAGCGAGGCTAAGTTATTTTCCAGTGAAACTCGTGACTATTACCAATGAATTTGCTATTGTCATGGAAGTCACAAGATTGTCTTGTGATGGTCTCGCTAAATCAAGTTTGAACTTGGTGACCCCGTCCCCATTTAGTTCGACCCTTCAGTACTCCCAGCCTTTCCTCAATATCTTAAACTCTTGGTTGAAAATTAACACTATCTTTAAAGTAACGCCAGGAGCGTGGGTAGAAGCCATAAACGCTTTTATTTGGTGGCTAATGATATACAAGCAACGATTTCTGCAGTGTGATTGGCTGAGAACATGTCAATTAATACCAAATCAGTGATCAGTGCAATTTCACCAGTGCAAAATAGTGAAATTGAGTGAAAACGGTGAAATTGAGTGCAAAACGGTGAAATTAAAAATGATTGACAGCTCCGACAAAAATTGAGCTGGGACAAACAAAATGGCGGACAAAACTAAGACGAAGGTTGAAACTCTCTACCTAAATTTTAATACAAAGACTTCATAACAAAGCAAAATACAACGCTCGGCAAAAATTACCAAAAATAGTTATTGTGTCAGACAAGAAATATGCACAAAATCCGCGAGGAGAAAAACATAATTTGAATTGACTGAATTGAAATGCCGGAGCCGATCGCGACGGCATGACAAAATCCCAGTTGAAAAACTCAATTTTAAAATTCCGTCAGTTCTACGAAGCAAAACGTAAAGAAGGACCCAACAAGGCGTCCTAAGAACCTGCCACGTCTTAATTTTGAAGACGAAAGGTGCAACCATTCTACTTTTGCGAAAGAACAAAG